CAGGAGTCTGGAAACAGGGGACTAAACACCACACATGACTGACAATGAGTCGATAATGTGTCTTCCCTTAGATGTTAGTGAGGGTCTGTAACTAGCAGTGACGGGAGATGAGATTTACAAGAAAAAAAAATGCAGACTAATTTAGGATGCATTATGTATACATAAAGTTTTGGGCTAAGTATGGCAGTTGGACTCACCTACAATGAAAATTGTACCCATTATTGTACCCATTGTACCTATTACTAAGAAATGTCGTATACATATAAGAAATATATGTATACTATGGCTGATTCATGTTGAGGTTTGACAGAAAACAACAAAATTCTGTAAAGCAATTATCCTTCAATTAAAAAATAAATAAATTAAAAAAAAAAAGAAGTGTTGAGGGCTTCTCTCATGGTGCAGTGGTTAAGAATCTCCCTTGCAATGCAAGGGACATTGGTGTGACCCCCAGTCTGGGAAGATCCCAGATACTGCAGAGCAACTAAGTCCATGCACCACAATTACTGACCCAGAACTCTAGAGCCTGTGAGCTGCAACTACTGCAGCCCACGCACCTAGAGCCCATGCTTCGCAGCAAGAGCAGCTGCCACAAAGAGAAGCTGAGCATCATGACCAAGGGTAGCCCTCACTCACCACAGAAAGCCTGTGTGCAGCAATGAAAACCCACCAGAGCCAAAAAAAAAATTTTTTTTAAAGAAATATCAAAGCCCTTAAATTTTTACATGTGAGAATCGAAGTTACAATTACGACAATTATAGCCCCTAGATCCTGAGAATATACAATAGCATGAAAGAGAACATAAAATTCAGTATGCTGAAGACTCTTAAAGACAAAATAATAAATCCAAACTTTAAGACAACAAACACTCCATCTGACAGAGAACCAAATAAAGTTTCTAAAAAACTGAAAATGTAGTCACTGAAAAAGCACGATCAAGCCCTCAAGGGGTGGATTTAACAGCATATGGAATACAGTAGGAGTGGCTTCCCAGGAGGTGCTAGTAATAAAGAACCCGCTGGCCAATGCAGGAGACGTAAGGGATGCAGGTTCAATCCCTGGGTTGGGAAGATCCCCTGGAGGAAGGCACAGCAACCCACTCCAGTATTCTTGCCTGGAAAATTCCATGGACAGAGGAGCCTGGTGGGCTACAGTCCATGGGGTGGCAAAGAGTCAGATATGACTGAGCACACACACACACACACACACACACACACACACACATATCCCGTCCACCCTCCCCGCAGCTAATCTACTTTCTGTCTATATGAATTTGCCTATTCTGGACATTTCATGTACACAGAATCAACATGTGACCTTGTATGTTTGGCTTCTTTCTCTCAGCATAATGTTTTCTGGGTTCATTCTCGTTGTAGCATGTATCACTATTTCATTCCTTTTCATGGCTGAATAATATTCCATTGTATGGATATACTACTTTTTGTTTGTCCATTAGCAGGCAACGGACATTTGGTTGTTCCCACTTTTTGACTATTACAAATAATGTTGCTATGCACCTTCATGTACAAGTTTTTATGTGTACATTTCCACTTCCGTTTGTAAACCTGAGAGTGGAATTGCTGGGTCATAACTCTGTTTAAAAAAAAATTTTTTTTTAAATATTTATTTTTGGCTGTCCTGGGTCTTTGCGCACAGGGCTTTCTCTAGTTGCGGTGAGGAGGGGCTGCTTTTCATTACAGTGAGGGGGCTTCTCATTGTGGTGGCGTGTCTTGTTGCTGAACTCAGGCTCTAGGGCCCGCCAGCTTCAGTAGCTGCAGCCCTCGGTCTCAATAGTTGTGACTCGTGGGCTCTAGAGTGTCAGCTCAGTAGTTGTGGCACACAGGCTTAGTTGCCTTCTGGCATGTGGGATCTTCCTGGACCAGGGGTTGAATCCATGTCCCCTGAATTAGCAGGCAATTTCTAACCACGGGACCATCAGGGAAGCCCCATCACACGGTTTTAACATTTTGAGGAACTGCCAAACTGTTCTGCAGAGCAGCGGCACCATTTTATGTTCCCATTAGCAGAGAATGAAGTTTCTAATTTATCCATGTCCTTAGCAACATATTTCCCCTTTCTTTTTAAAAATCATGGCCATCCTGTGGGTGCAAAGTGGTATCTCGCTGTGGTTTTCCACGGATTTACATTTGAAATACTCAACCACTAATACATTCCTGGGGTAAATCCTCCTTGGTCATAGTATATTATTCTTTTCAGCTATTTCTAGAATGACAATCATGCATAATTGTCCTCTTCTGTTTCTGATTTCTGACATTAGAAAGAGAATGACCCATCTGTGTACAAAAGATATTTGCATCTTGCTATGTGGAGGCATTAAGTTGTTACCAGTTGTATGGAAATCAAATGTGGTAGAAAGGTGTGTGTGAGTGATGAAGAGCCAAAAGGATGGGTCGTGCTGATTGCTTATGGCACCTCAGCCCCAAGCCCTGTCCACAGCCTCTTCTGGGATACCCTTGCTGGACTGCTGAAAACTACATTTCCCAGATTTCCTTGCAACTGGCTCCCTGTCGAGGTGGGCCTGCTCACAGGGGCCAGCTGAGGGAGACTGGAACTTGGAGCAGGTGAAGAGGCTTTCTTCTGCCCTTGTCCAGCAGAAGCCAATGTTTGGCTCTAGCACTATTTTTGCATCTATCTTTTTTTTAAAAAAATTATTTTTGGCTGCATCCGGTCTTAGTTGTGGCATGTGGGCTCCAAAGCGTGTGGGCAACAGTTTAGTTGCCCCAGAGCATGCAGAACCTTAGTACACTCATCAGGGATTGGACCTGTGTCCCCTGCATTGGAAGGTGGGTTCTTAACCACTGGGGAAGTCCCGCATCTATCTTCTTAGTAAGAAGTTCCAGCACCAACTGGAAGCCAGCGCTTCCCCCTAACACACACCAAAAATCTAAGCACTGTTCTGGGGCTCCATCCTCCACGTTTCTAGCCAGCTTCCAAGATGACTCCAGTGATTTCTCCTGGGCTATATTTGTGGTCTTGTGTAGACAGCTCACACGCTGGATTGGGGTTGGCTGTGACCAGTGGAATATGGTGGAAGCGAGCCTGTGTGACTTCTGAGATTAGGTCCTAAAAGGCGGTGGAGCCTCTGCTTTGCTCTCTTGGTATGCTCACGCCCTTGAGGATGCTGTGAGGGGCCCTGTGGAGAGGCCTCTGAGAGGGACCGAGGCCTCTAGTCAGCTCAGTTTGCAGCCATGAGCCTGAGCCATGTACAGGAGGTCCTTGGAAATGGACCCTCTGGCCCCAGTGAAGCCCTCAAAGCACTGCAGTCCCAGGGCAGTATCTGACCACTGACACAGGAGAGACCCCAGGCCAAAACCACTCACCAAGCTGGTCCCAATTCTTAACAGAGAAGATCTGAGCCACGAGTGACCGCTGTTATTTCAAGCCACCAAATTTAAGGGGTGAATTGTTAACCTTGACACCAGATAACTAAATTAACTTCTTTCCTTAAGTGCCCCAGCCAAGGGGTGGCTACTAGTTCCCACAGGTCAACACAAATGGTTATCTCAGCATCCACTTTTTGTCCTTCCACTGGATTAAATGACCTACATTTGAAATAAGTAGGGTGGTTTCCGGTTTACTGATGGGCCCTTTACATTTTAGAAAAAAAACAAATAGCAAGCATGATATAAGAGCAATCTGTTCCCTACTGGCTCTTCCCCTACTCCTCCCCCCACCCTCAAACTCAACTTTGGCAAAGCTGGGCCAACACTTCCATCCCTGCCCTCTTATCTGTCCCCACCCACACCTCCATTCCTGTCTTCCCAGACCAGGCTTCCTTAGGCCAGGCTTCTAAGTCAAAAGGTCCCTCTCCCCTCCTGTTTCTCTGGGGCCCCCAGACACATGTCACAATGCGGGATCTGGGGGGGGAGTACGGAGTTTATTTTATTTTTCTGAGTCTGGGTTTTGTTCCTTAGATGTCCCCACTCCTGGATGGAGGTGAGTCCTAGTCCCACGGGCCTGCTTTCGATTGTTTTCCAGGTTCAAAGTGCACTGAGAAGGCTTCACAGTTTTAATACTTCCTAGATGCTCAACTGAGGCAGAGTGACAAAATGGCCCCCCACCCCCACCCGCCGAGAAAAAATAAAACCCCAAGCCCCCGGCAGCTGCTGCTGCAGCCGTTATGAAAAAATAATACAAACTCTTCTTAAAAAATAGATTACACAGAAAGAACCCAGAGGACAGAGGGGCGTGGGGAGGGGCAGGGGCTGCTTCAGCCACTGGCGAGGAGCCTGGGGAGAGGCCCGGAGGGGGTGCTGAGATGAACTTCAGGGGGCTGGGAGGCTGGGGGACTCCGCCCAACCCCTCTCTGCGGCGCCCCCCAGCAGCTCTGGCCCCCAGACCACGGCTCCCCTCCCCCTCCGGGGACCCTCCCTTCACCCTGAGGCCTGGTACCTGCTTCCCACTAAAGTGGCTTCAATAAAGAAAGGAAAAGACCCAAAGCGAGTCAGGGCTGCTGTCTAGCCCCCGGGACTTCTGCCCCATGGGAGCAGACCTCTCTCCCTTTGGGGGTTTGGATAATTATCTATACCTGCTGCTACTGAGGCACCCACTGGGGGGTTGACAGGCCCCAGACTCCCTGTCTGCCCCTGGGAACAAATGTGATGGTCACAGTCGGGGGGCGGCCTGTCCTCCAGCCCAGCCTCGGAGGAGCTGCAGACAGCGGAGTGTGCACGGGGGTGGGTGGGGGGGTAGGTGCTGGATGGGGCGCAGCTCACACGGGCCCTCCAGCTCATGCAAGCAGAGGCGGGAGCGGGCGGCCCCACCAAGACAGAGGTAAGGCAGGGTGAGGTGATGGTGTGTGTGCGGCCAGACCAGCTCTGGGGCCGGGGGCAGAGACGGGGCAAGGCAGGGCCTGGTGCGGGGGAGGGTCTGGGTGCCTGCCGCCCCAGTGAGGGCGCCACACCCGGGCCGCCTCCTGCAGAGGAATCGGTGCCGGGCAGATTCTCCGGAGGCGGATGGGGCGGCCGGGGGTGCTGGGCTCAGTCAGGGACCTCAGGGTGGGCGGGCAGCCCGCTCTCGCCACGCCGGTAGGTCTCCCAGAAGCCCCTGTCCAGCTGTTCCAGCTGTGGGCCCAGCGGCAGGTGGCCGGCCAAGTGCATGCGGAGGGTCTCCAGCCACTGCTCCAGCTTCACGAAGGAGGGCCTGGGGTGGGAGATAGGAGGTGGGGGCATGGTAGGTTCTGGCTCTGCTGGGGAACCCCCGCCCCCCCACCCTGCCCTAAGCCCCTCATCCCGCTCACCTCTTCTCAGGGTCCAGGTCACAGCAGCGCACAGTAATGGGGAAGAAGCTCGGGGGGCAGTTTGGGGGGCAGTAGCGGTCCAGGAAGCCTCGCACGTTGAGGCCAAAATCCATGGTGCGCGGCAGGTAGTCCGGGTCAGCGTTCACTCGCCCGATGATCTGTCCAGACAAGGCCCGGCAGTTACCCGCAGGGCCCTGGGGCTGGGTGCCGCCCGGGCGGGTTTGAGGGTGGGTCACACCAGGCCTGGCACCCGTTTGACCACGGGGATGCAGGCAGCGGTGGGCAGCCGGTCCCCACAGCTTCCCTGGCTTGGGGCCCCGGCAGGCTTCCAGCCTGCAGCTCCGGAGTGCGTGGGGACAGGGCTGGAGCCGGCTGCCACCCGCCCCTGGGCCTACCTCGCACAGGACGATCCCGAACGAGAACACATCCACCTTCTCGTCGTAGCTGCGGCCTGGATGGAGAGACCACGGTCAGCGGGTGCCCAGGCCGGGGGTGCCAGCCGGTGAGGGGGACAGGCCGGGGACCGCCCGCCGGGGGATGCGCTAACCAGGAGGCAGATGCGAGCAACCTCTGCGGGATCAGGCCCTGGGCTCTGACCCTACCTGGGCCCACTCAAGCTGAGCCAGCCTGCTGGGGGTGGGGGGGGGGCGGTGGCTGGTGGTGAGGGAGTCAGGGTGAAATCCCTGGGCAAGAGGTTCTAGGCCCAGCTCGGTCACTAACCAACTCTGTGACTCCGGGCATGTCATGGACCCTGTGGTGACCCCGAGAGATAACTGTGTCAGACCTTCAGAGCCTGTGCGTGCTACTGTTTTTGGAAAGATAAAGAATTGATTTGAAGATACGATTCAAGATCCTGAGATGAGACCACCCTAGATTATCTGGGCAGGTTCTAAGTGCCATCCTGCATGTGTACTCACTCAGTCGTGTCCAACTTTTGTGACCCTGTGGACGGTAGCCCTCGGGGCTCCTCTGTCCATGGGATTCTCCAGGCAAGAATACTGGAGTGGGTTGTCATTTCCTCCTCCAGGGGATCTGCCCGACCCAGGGACTGAACCCAAGTCTTTTGCATCTCTTGCATCTCTTTACCACTGAGCCATCTTGGAAGCCCCAAAATGCCACCCTAACTGTCCTTATAAGAGAGACCAAAAAGGAGAAGATACATAGGAGGTGGCAGCCACGTGGAAACAGAGGCAGAGATTGGGCCGATGTGGCCACAAGCCCGGAATGCCAGGGTCAGAGCCTAGATAGAACAAGGAATGGACTCTCCCTTGAAATCCCTGGAGGGAGCAAGGCTCTACTGGATCTTAGACTTCTGGTGTAAGCACTCAGTTTGTGCTCGCCTGTTACAGCAGCCTCAGGGACTGATACAGACTCCGAGCCTCAGCCTGCCTTAGCTGTAAAATGGGAACAATACTGTCTACCTGATGATGTTAAAGATAATCAGGACAACCACTCTCAGCGGCTCCTGACTAGTTTACAAATCTCACCCAATGTTCATACCACTCCTTGGAGATAGGGACTCTTTGTTTCTTTATTTTATTCTTTTCCTTTTCTTCAAGATAGGGACTATTAACCCCACTTTATAAGGGCTTTCCTGGTGGCTCAGACGGTAAATAATCCGCCCACAGTGCAGGAGACCTGGGTTCGATTCCTGGGTCGGGAAGATAACCTGGAGAAAGAAATGGCTACCCACTCCAGTATTCCTGGGAAATCCCATAGACAGAGGAGCCTGGTGGGCTACAGTCCACGGGGTCACAAAGATTCGGACACGGCAGAGCAACTAATGCTAACACTTTCACTTTCTTTCACTTCACCACTTACGTTATTAGGGGGTGGGTTATGTTAACTTTGATCAGGGTTGGTGTTAAGATGACCCCGAATCTGCCTGTCCTGACCCCGTGTGTCTGCATGTCCCTTGCCTGTGGATGGACTTTATCACCCCCAGTCCAGGCACACATGGGATCACTGTGTGACAGGCCTGAAGAAAGAAATGGAGTGGGAGAAGCGGGCTCTGTGGGAGGCCCAATAATGGTCCTGGAGAGGCCCTAGTCCCTGTCCAGGGACCGCCTGCCCCTCGGACCCGAATGTGCTGCCTTTTACGGGACTTCGCAGGTGTCACTCAGTTAAGGATCTCGCGATGGGGAGATGATCTCAGGTTAGCTGGCTGAGCCCTCTGATCACAAAGGTCCTCATAAGGGAGGGCGGGGGGTCAGGGTCAGGGTAGGAGAGGTGACAGCAGACACGGGTGTCAGAAAGAAGAGACTGCACTGCTGGTCTTGCTGGAGGAGGGGCCAGGAGCCAAGGAGCGAGGCCGCCTCTGGAAACTGGAAAAGGGAAGGAAACAGATCCTTCCCACTCGAGCCTTGAGAAGAAACGCAGTCCTGCTGACACAGGACCTTAGCTCACCAAGCCTGATACTGGACTCCTGACCTCCAGAACTATAGATAATTTGCCTGTGCAGTCTTAAATTTTTTGGGGCACCTCAGGGCATGTAGGGCTTCCCCGGTGGCTCAGATGGTAAAGAATCTGCCTACGATGTGGGAGACGTGGGTTCGCTCCCTGGGCCGGGAAGATCCCTGGAGGAGGAAATGGCTGCCCACTCCAGTATTCTTGCCTGGAGAATTCCATGGACAGAGGAGAATTTCACGACAGTGGGCTATGGTCAGTCCTTGGGCAGAGAGTCAGACATGACTGAATGACGGACATTTTCACTTTTCACTTTCGGTGGGGTCACACTTCCCTGACCAGGGATCAAACCTGTGCCCCCTGCACTGGAAGCATGGAGTCCTAACCACGGGACCGCCCGGGAAGTCCCTAGAATGATTTCTGTTTTTTACACCAAGTTGTGATAATCTGGTGCAGCAGCAAAAGGCAACTAATGACAGGACTCCAGGAGGAGGAGGAGGCCAGGACCTCTGCCTCCTGCAGCCCCACCTGGGACCGCGGGGCCCCGGGGATGTGCCCGGCGGGGCCCCCGACTCACCGTTGATCATCTCGGGCGCCATCCAGTAGGGGTTGCCCACCACCGTGTACCGCTTTTTCCGGTCTGGCTTCTTGAGGCTCCGCAGGTCCTCGGGCTGCGTCTTCTCATCCACCATGAGCCGCGCCAGCCCGAAGTCAGCCACCACGACATTCTTGTTCTGGGGTGAGGGGAAGCAAGGCCGTGCTGAGACACGCTCCTGCCACCACCTGCCCACTCCCTCCTCTGCCTTCTGGGGGCAGCCTGTGATCTTTCCATCACTGCCCCTTAGACCCCGGGCTGCCAGCTCCCATTGCCTCCCACTGAAGTATATCCCCAAATCTCTTTCATTAAACAGCAGCAAACCTCCCTTGATCGCCCCAGCCCCCATATCCAGGCCACTGGTGCAGCCTGGTGTGGCCCGTTGTCTGCGATGGTCACCGTCCCAGCAGACCCCCCTCCCACCCACTAGGAGTGTGGTGGGCGGGGGTCCCGCTGGCCCCTCCTGCAGCCCTGGCTGCTCACCTCACGAACCAGGCAGTTGTGGGAGTTGAGGTCCCGGTGGATGATGTTCATCGAGTGGAGGTAGGCCTGCGGGTGGAGGGGCGTGCGTATCAGGGGGCAGCCTCCCTGAGGGACCCCAGCCCTGCCCTTACTGTCCCCCGCAAGGCTCCCATCTTCCCCCTGCCACTGGATTCCCTCTGTCCTCTCTTGAAGCTTCCTGTGGAACTTAGGAGAACGGTAGAGAATTTTTTTGGCAGGGGTTGGGGTTGGGGGGAACTGCACAGCAAGGCAGGTGGGATCTTGGTTCCCTGACCAGGAATCAAACCCATGTCCCCTGCAGTGGAAGCATGGATTCTTAACTACAGGACCATCAGGGAAGTCCCCCACCCCATGCCACCCCAAAAATCAGAGCCTACTCACCATCCCAGAAGCGATGTCCTTGGCAAAGCTCACCCTCTGACTCCAGGGGTACTGGCTGTCCTGGGGTGGGGGGTGAGGGGGGAGAATGTCCAGGATGAGCCAACAGGGCCACAGGGACGGGACACTGGGCGGGAGAGAAGGAGGGGGCGAGTGTCCTGCAGGGGTTGAGGACCAGCCCCCCCATCTATGATACCCACAACTGTCCCCTCTAAGGGGTGTGCGTGAACAATTCCAAACAATTTCCTGACAAAGCGGCTTTGAGATCAGAGGCTGATCCCCAGTGAAGAGCCTAGGAGACTGGGGCCCAGGGAGGAGCCGCTCCATCTGGGTCCCTCTGCGGGAGTGGCTGGGATGGGATGCAGGTGGCGGGGTTGAGGGGGAGGGTGTGGTTCTGCCTGGCACTCACCATGCTCTTGATGATGCCCCGGAGCGTGCCGCCCTTGATGTACTCGGTGATGAAGTTGAGCCTCTTGTCCTTGTAGAGCACCCCGATGAACTTGAGCACATTCGGGTGCTCCAGGCATCGCATGACCTTCACCTGGTGGGGGGGGGGTGCAAACAGGCTGCGGCCCCATCTTCTCCCGCCGCTGTCCCACCAGAAGCCGCCATGGACAGTTCCGAAGGTGGGCGAGTCTTCCCCCCGCCCCGGGGGTTCCTGCCACACCTGCCGCCGCCCTTCCCTTTGCTCCGGCTACCTCCACCCCCAGGGATGTCCCTGCCCCTCTCGCCCTCAGCAGTCTGTCGTCTTCCGTGGAGGGCTTGAGTGTCACTTCCTCCCGGAGCCCTTTGCCACTGACCCCCTCTCGATAGGCAAGGGTGGGGCAGGCGCCTCACCCACCTCCTTGAGGAACGTCCGCTGGGTCTCCTCGTCGAAGCGGATCAGCTCCTTCATCACCATCACCTCGCCCGTCTCTCGGTGCGTCACCTGCGTGAGGACACGCGGGGCACGGGCTCTGCTCCAGGCTGCCCCGCAGGAGGCCCACCCCTCCCCAGGCAGATGGACGCATGGGGCTGGGGGCTGAGGCCTGGCTGGTGCCTTTTATATAAACCTGAACCTTCTAGGCTGGTCACAGGCAGATGACATCAGAAGCAGGAGAGGGCTGGTCACCAGGGTGTGAAGGGGGTGAGTGGCCCACATTAGGCTGAGTAAGGGGACCCTGGGGGAGGAAGCCTTCAGGGTCAGTCCGGGCTGCCCTCCCATCCCGACTCTGAGAAGCCACTGTCCCACGACCTCCTTCACGCAGGCTACCTATATACAGAAGGGCCCCTCCGCCAGCTAGCTCGACAAGGCCCTGGGGGAGGCGAGCCCTGGCCAGGGAGTCTGGAAGCCAGACACCCTTCCAGTGTGGCTTCCTGGGGACACTGGTGGGAAGAGGGTGGAGGGCCAGCAGGTCACCCCCAGACAGTCCCCTCCCTCCCTGGCGTGCCCCGCACCTTGATGGCCTGGCCGAAGCAGCCTTTGCCCAACACCTCCCCGTGGATGAGATCCGAAGGCCGGAAGATGCGGTGCGGCCGGCAGACCACACGGAGGGACTCAGAGCGACCCAGGTCCTTGCGCTGGGAGGCCGGGGAGCTCAGCGAGCCGGCGCCCGGGGACCTGTCGATACTGCAGCTCCTCCTGGGGGGACACACCGGCGGCAGGTGGGCCCCTGGCTGAGGGCCCCTCGGGGGAGGCCAGGCCTCGGCCCTGCCCCTTCCCCCAACCTGCCACGCCCCACTGATGCCAGTCCATGTAAATCACCCGTACAGTCAGGAAGGCTGGCACCGGGCAGCTCTCCTGGGGCCACCATGAGACCCCTGCCCTACCCTGATGCCAGCACCCAGTGCCCTGTCTGGCTTGGACTTCCTGTTCAGGAAGGAATGTCTGCCCTTGGCTTTCTCTGCCTGATGACCCTGGATCAGACGCTTCATCTCTCAGAACTTGAGTCCTGGGCCCCGAGGTGCAGAGGCAGACGACCTGCGCAGGATGCCCCTAGGTGGGCCTGCAGGGTGACCTGAGCTCCAGGCAGATGCGGGGGAGGAGGAAACAGGCCTTCAAGGTCACTCTTTCTTAGCGTAAAGGCTGTCACCCCAGGTGTCCCCGACCAGGAGTCCTCAGCAGGCCACAGAATGAGTGGCGTGAGGACCAGGCTGTCTCCGGGCTTCTTCCTTGCACCCCTTACTCCTTTTAAGAGATGCCCCGGCCCTTCCAGCCTGGCCCACATCACAGCCCTCCGGCTGTCTCTGGTCCTGGGCACCTTCTTGCAAAGGGGACCAGAGTGGTCTCTGTGGGACACATCACTATGCTGTGAGACCCTGGCCACCAGCTGCCACCTCGGAGCCCACCTCTCAACACACACTGGATGCCACAGCAGTCTGAGTGCCAGGCCACTGGCTCCTTGAAGCCAGGGCTCTGGTCCACCCTGGGAACCCTGTCATCCCCAGCTTGGGGCGCCGCTTCCTCATTTCTTCCTTCTCATTCATTCCTCCTTCTCATTCATTCTTCCTTCTCATTCATTCTTTTTCTTCCCAGCTCCCTGCACCCCTCGCTGGCATGCTCTTGTTTTTTTTGGAGGGCTGACTGTGAGCAACTGGAGGGCAGGGACTGCCACCCCCCCTGCCCCCACGCCCACTGAGGCCCAGCATCAGTGAAACTAACAAGATACAGAGCGTCACGGGGCAGGGCTGACTTACAGCACAGGCTTCTGCCGGCCAGGGCTGCCCGCCTCCCCGCTGGGCGTGTGAGCTGGGGAGCCCAGGGGGCTGGGCTCAGACCCTGGCCCATGGCCTAGGGTGTCATGGGGGTCATGCTCCAAAGTCAGCTGGAGCAGGCGGCTGGTCTCCTGGATCAGCAGATCAATCTGGGGAGAGCAGGCATGTGGACAGGTGAGTCTCAGGTGGTGGGGAGCAGGCACGAAGGCACCACCTCCAACCCCACTTGCCAGACCTGGGACCCGTACCTCGTCCAGAGGCACGTTCCGGATGGGCGTGCCATTGATTTCCAGGATCCGGTCCCCGACATGGATGGAATTCTTCACATCCGGGCTCATGCAGCCCGGGTCCACTCTGTGGGCACAGAGCGGTGGTCAGACTCCTGCCTGCCCCAGGAAGCCAAGGCCAAGGGGATCAGGTCAGGAGTATGGGGGCAGAGCATGCTATCTTGCGTGACTGGTGGATGGCAGTTGTCCAGAACACGGAAGTCTGGCTTGGTGGGAAGAGTTCTATGTTAATTACAACACCTGCCATGGGTGTGAAACTGGAGGAAAGTGCCATGCCCCGAGGTATCTGCCCCGCTATACGAGATGCTCGGGCTTCCCTGGTGTCTCAGGTGGTATAGAACCCTCCTGCCAATGCAGGAGATGCAGGTTTGATCCCTGGGTCAGGAAGAGCCTCTAGAGAAGGAAATGGCAACCCACTCCAGTATTCCTGCCTGGAAAGTCCCAGGGACAGAGGAGCCTGGTGGGCTACAGTTCTTGGGGTCACAAAAAAGTTGGACACTTAGTGACTGAACAACAGCGGCAACAACGAGATGCGCGGGGGCTCCTGTTCAACAGAGCATTGTCCCTGCCTCTCCTTCCAGCTGCCTGGTAAGCTTGGGGCAGAGGAATGCCAAGAGGCCTAAGAGGGTCTGGACCCACTGGCTTCCTGCCTGACCCCCAAACACGCCCTGCAAGATGGGACTAAGGCTCCCACCCCTCCGAGATGGGCAGGAAGGGATGAGCAGCCTTCCCTGAGCCACAGCTGCAGGGGAGGTGGGGCTGGTGGCCTCCATTAGTTGGCCATGAGCTAAGCCACAGAATGGCCAACTTGCTACACTCCTTTGCTCCTTTTAACTCCTCCTCAGTGTTAGTGATCGGATTTCACTTTGCCCTCATTAGAGCTTTCCAAGGAACGTCTGTCTCTGCCTTGAGATGGGGAAGGGCTGGGGCAGGGGGATACGGTTGTGGTGGTGGGCAGGAGAGAAAGCAGACAGAGCTTTAAGAAAAACAGAGCCCTAGCAATTTTTCAATTATTGAGAGTATATTCGCACATGGGGGAGAAGCGCCTCCTTATATAGGGAAGTCGGGTAGCAAATGAAGCAGGAAGAACAGAGCTAGAAAAGTCGTCATCTTGTAGCCATCACAGCAGTAACAGCTGCAGGGAAGACTCATCGTGAAGGCGAGAACCATTTAGTGAAAGGTTCTTGGGGACAGGATATTTACAGACTCAAAGCTCACAGAGGACTCACTGGCTACACTGCACAGGGGGAAGAATCCTTGACAGCAGAGACAGTAGACTGCACTTTAACCCAATAATTGAAGTTGACATCCCCAGTAAAGGGTGCACTTTATTGACCTCCTGTGTCTACCACTAAGATGCACAGAGAGAGAGCGCATCAGTTACATGGTCAAAACGCATGACCTAAATCTAGGAAAGAGGAACCCAAGTCGGGGGGAGGGGGACATCCTCCTAAACGACTGACCTGTACTCTTCACAGACGTCAAGGGCATAAAGGACGATGGAAAGCTGAGGAACTGGCGCAGGTTAAAAGAGACTGAAGAGACTTGAGGACAGCATTGCGACAACCGGCAAAGCCCGAGTTTGGGGTTGTATACTGGATGAAAGTATTACATTAATGTTCAATTTCCTAACTGTCATAGCTGCACATAGGATACAGTGGGTAATTACATAAAGAGAGCGCTTTTATTTTTAGGAGAATGTCTGAAGTATTTGGGGAAAGATGAGGCAATGGTGCCTACAGCTTACTCTCAAATGAGTCAGTAAATAATAGCAGTGTGTGTACAGGCGTGTATAAACATACACAAATAAATATATATATGTTCATACACCCACACCTAGATATGCATGGACGAAGAGACACGCATATCTCAAACGTGACAAAAGTTAAAAATTATGAACCTAGGTGAAGGGTGTACATGCGCTAAGTCACTTTAGTTGTGTCTGACTCTTCGCGATCCCGTGGACTCTGGACCCCCAGGATCCTCTCTGTCTACAGGACTCTCCAGGCAAGAATCCTGGAGTGGGTTGCCATGCTCTCCTCCCAGGGATCTTCCTGACCCTGTGATCGAACCCATATTCCTTATGTCTCCTGCATTGGCAGGTGGGTTCTTTACCACTAGCACCACCTGGGAAGCCTGAAAGGGTGTACAGGTATTCAATACACTTATTATTTCAGCATTTTTTCTGTAAATTTGGTGTTTTTCAGGATAAAAAATTTAAAAACAGTGACTATATTTTCACAGAGACTTCTTGTGGATCAGTTCCGTTCAGTTCAGTTGCTCAGTTGTGCCTGACTCTTTGCGACCCCATGGACTGCAGCACGCTAGGCCCCCCTGTCCATCACCAACTCCCGGAGTTTACTCAAACTTAGGTCCACTGAGTCGGTGATGCCATCCAACCATCTCACCCTCTGCTGGCCCCTTCTCCTCCCGCCTTCAATCTTTCCCAGCATCAGGGTCTTTTCAAATGAGTAGTTCTTTGCATCAGGTGGCCAAAGTATTGCAGTTTCAGCTTTAGCATCAGTCCTTCCAATGAATATTCAGGACTGATTTCCTTTAAGATGAACTGGTTGGATCTCCTTGCAGTCCAAGGGACTCTCAAGAGTCTTCTCCAACATCACAGTTCAAAAGCAATAATTCTTCAGCGCTCAGCTTTCTTTATAGTCCAACTCTCACACCCATACATGACTACTGGAAAAACCATAGCTTTGACTAGACGGACCTTTGTTGGCAAAGTAATGTCTCTGTTTTTTAATATGCTGTCTAGGTTGGTCATAACTTCTCTTCCAAGGACATGGCCTTAAAAATATATTTCTTGGACTGCCCTGATGGTCCAGTGGTTAGGACTGCGCTTCCACTGCGGGGGGGCTGGGTTCAGTCCCTGATAGGGGAACTCAGAACGCGCAAGCCACATGGTATGGCCAAAAAACCAATAGGAAAGCGTATATATATTCCTTTGACTCTCTGTCTCCCTTGCCTCAGTCTCTTGCTCAAGTAGCGGGAAGGCTGGGGCAAAGATAAATTTAACTTCCCTTTCAATGCTACTATAAACAAAATACACATAAACAAAATAAAAAGTGGTCAGCTAAGACTCTTCAAACAAACAGTTCAGTCTGGCCAGCAGCCTTTGGGCAAGCTGGGCTGCTTTTGAGGAGGGTGTGGCCCCTCGCAGACTGCTGGGAAGGCAGACGTTGGCTGGAAAGAATGCTCGCCCAGGGAGGGAGGCAGGGAGGAGGTGTCATTGACTCTCTGTTCCTAAAATTCTGCCTGGCTGTCAGGGTCCAGCTGGTCTGGGAGTTTCCCTGTCTCTCTCACCAGTCTGTCTGCTCACTTGTGTGCGGAAGGCAGCTGCTGGCTTGGCTGATGCTCCAGATGGGGCTGGAAACACAGCATCAAGTCTAGCCTCCTCCTCTCCCCTGCTGCCCTCCCCCCTCCCACCCCAACCATCTTCACTTTTCACCAGGCACTGGCCTGGTGCCCAGCAGGTGTGTGAGAACTGTTCACTGACTCCCAAGGAAGGAACGGTTCACTGACTCCAAGGGGGTAGTTGTTCTACACTCAGACAACTATTTCTCAAGGGTGCATGAAGGCCCAGGAGAAATCTTAGAAGGCTCCAAGGTATCCGACTCCCTCATGGTTTAGACAAAGACTTCGAAGGTCAGAGAGGGCAAGGGAGCGGCTCAGTGTCACACAGCCTATGAGCCACTGGCTTGGACCCTTAACCTTCATTTCTTCTTGCATCTCAGACCTTTTCTACATCCTTTGGAATTTTCTTTAGGGATGATCTGCTGGCATCACATGCTGTTTTGTCTGCTTTAACATGTATTTATTTCACCTTCATTCCTTGTTTTAATTTTTAATTGATTTATCTGTTTGTTATTTTTTGGAGCTATGCTAGGTCTTCGTTGCTGTGCTGGCTTTTCTGTAGTTACAGCGCGTGGGGGCTACATGTTGCAGTGCGCGGGTTTCTCATGGTGGAGCCCGGGTTTCAGGCGCCTGGGCTCAGCAGTTGTGGCTCCCAGGCTCCAGGGAACAGTCTCAATAGTTAAGGTGCACAGACTTAGCTGCTCCGCAGCATGTGGGATCTTCCCAGATCAGGGATTGAACCCATGTCTCCTGCATGGGCAGGCAGATTCTTTACCACTCAGCCACCAGGGAAGCCCCTTACCTTCATTCTTGAAGGACATTTTCATCAAGTATAGAATTCTGTTTTGTCTTTTTAAAATTATTTGGCTGCGCCAGGTCTTAGTTGCGGCATGCAGGATTTCTAGTTCCCTGACCAGGGATCAAACCCAAGCCCCCTGCAATGGAAGCTTGGAGTCTCTGCCACCAAACCACAGTCTGGTCTTTTTTTGAAGGAAATTTGTTTCTTCCCTATGGCTACTTTTAAGATCTTCTTTTTTTTTTGCCTTTGTGTAGTAGTTTCACTAGGTGGGGTGGTCCATGGGTAGATTTCTTATTTTTCTGTTTGGGATTTACTGGGTTTGAGTTTGTGGATTGACATCTTTTATCCCTTCTGGGAAGTTCTCAGCTGTTAAATACTGCCTCTCTCCCATTCTCTCTTCTTCTGGGATTCTAGATGGCTAATTAGATCGGCTCACTTTGTCCTCTCTTTCTCTGCTTTCTTTGCCTCACTACTTTCTTAGTACATCTTAGCCTCTCTTTCTCTACTTTCATCTTGTATTTCTGCTTCTCACTTCAGCTGTTTAAAACCCAACTCTGCTGCTAAACCCGTATTTCACTTCTAGAAATATGGTTCTTTGGAATTTTGGTTCTTTTCTTGCTATCTGCAGTTTCTGTAGGTCTGTTTCAGCCACCTGTTGCTGCTGTTGGCTCTGTGGTTTTTGACTGAATGGCTCCTATTCCTTGGGACACTCGTTTCGGGAAATTCTCTGAAGCCTGGAGGTGGGCTCCACCGCATTTGCTTCTGTCAGGGCCTAGGGACATTCCCAGTGGAGAAGTACTTTAAGCTTTTACAATTTCTCCTGGAGGCTTTCTGAACCACCCAGGCTTGTCAACTTGGTTGGCAAACCCAAGTGTTTGAATTCTCAGGGGAGATTCCCTCTCCCCTTCTGTTCAGGTTCAAATCTGTTTATTTTCCAGTTCTGGGGAAGAGGGGCTGGAAATCGCTGGTGGAAGGCATGATTTCTTGCTCTTCCTCACCTTGAGGGCATTTTGGCGGCGGAGTGGGGGGAAGTGTTCTCCTTTACTTTACGGAGAAGGGAGAAGTGTTCTCCTATTAGACTCACTTTCCTAGAGCTAGTCACTTGGGCTTTGAGAGAGGCTCAGCCAGGAGAAGACTGCAAAACTAAAACTTAATTCCCCCGATTTACATTTGCCCTCAAGGTATGGCTGCCTTCTGTGCTCTGCTGACACCCTCGGGCTCCCTCCTTCACCTGTTCCTGACCTGGTTACTTCTCTTTCTTGTTTGGTCATGCAGTAAGTCAAGAGAACATTTTAAATATTTCATCTGGCAATTGTTACAGATTTCTTCTCTTGGAGGAATGAGTGGATCAGACATCTGGTATACCAGGTTGTTGGAGCTGGGCTCCATCTGCGCTCACACGCTTACCCGTCTTCAGCCCCCGCCCCTGAGTCGGCCTGCCCACCTAAGGCATCCATGCCCACCGCCACACCAGCTGCAGCCTTGGCAGGCCGGCCACTCACCCCTGGACGCGGACGGTGTGGGGGTGCTCCGTGCTGCAGCCCGGCAGGCTGTGAGGGGGGTCGATGGAGACCGAGAGGCCGCGTTTGCCGTGAGATGAGGCTGGGATGGAGACCAGGGTGACCGTGTGGGGCAGGTGGGAGCCAGGGGAGTCGGGCAGGATCTGCTCAATGACGGGGGTCACCACGGTCTGGTAGTAGCAGTGTCCGCTGCACGAGCCGCCGGCGGTGGGGACCCAAAGAGCGGGAAGAGAAGTGTGTCAGGGCAGTCACCAGCATCACCCCCCAACGATCCCTCAGTCCAGGGCTCGTTTCTCCTTCCACCCTCCCCTTCCCACTCCCCATGGGAGGAGGAGGGTCTTGGCTGCTTGGTGGGCTGGGAGCAGGAAGTGGGCAGGCCCTGCCCCTCTTCGGGGCTCAGTCATTCTGGGTTGTCTACACTGTCAGCTGGCCAGGACGAGGCCTGGGGATAAATCCCATTCAGGAGGAAGTCATTAAAAGTCCATTTGGGAGCTTCAAAAGCCATGCTGCCCCCAAATCCAGCTTTATCAGTTGCTGCCACACTAAAGGATTTCTCTGATCTTTGTCCCTGGTTCCTGGGAAAGAGGTTCGAAATCCTTGCAACAGGAGTGTGTCTTCATTTTTCATGAGCCCCTCAACCCACACTCAAGCTAATGCTTTTGTGTTTGCTTTTGTCTGTTTTTCTTTCTTTTTCAAAATTTTTATTTATTTTTTCATTTATTTTAATTGGAGGCTAATTACTTTACAATATTGTGGTGGTTTTTGCCATACATTCACATGAATCAGCCATGGTACATGTGTTCCCCATCCTGACCCTCCCCATCCCATCCCTCAGGGTCATCCCAGTGCGCCAGCCCTGAGCACCCTGTCTCATGCATTGAACCAAAATTTTTATTTATTTTTTGTCTTTTTTTGAGTTAATGTTAATGAGCCAACTCAGGCAAGGGTTGGGGGGGGGCGGTGGGGGCAGGCTGGGCACCAGAAAGACTGACCATGTGATGAGAGGATGCTGCTCTGGTCCAGTCTGGCCTCAAGGAGCCCAAGTTCAACCCCATGCCCAGTGATTCAGTCAATTACACTGCATAACAAAACCCCAATAAAAACTCTGGTGATGCTGGGGAGGACGGATCACACGTCCTGACTCCATGAGTGGAGTGCACGGAAGCTCTGCATGCCAGACCTCCCGGACCTCGCCCTTTGTGTGTTTCCACCTGGCTGGTCCTGATTCACGGCTTTTCAGTCTTGCCTCCTTTGTCACAGATTAATTGACCACAGGTGCACAGACTTATTTCTGGGTTTTTATCCTGTTCCATTGATCCATATTTCTACTTTTGTGCCAGTACCATGCTGTTTTGATGACTGTAGCTTTGTAGTATAGCTTTTAGTAAAAACTGTGGTTGTGGTGCTCTCTGAGCTCTGTGAGTCGCTGAGTGAAGAATCAGATCTGAGGGGGCTGCGGGGATCCCTGAGTCTGCAATCGGCTGGTTAGCAGTGCGAGTGGCCTGGGGACCCCTGCACATGGGTCTGGGGTCTGGGCAGTTTTGCTGGGGATGAGTCCTGAGCTTACAGGGTGAGTGCTCACGCTGGTGCCAGAGTTATACAGCAGTGATGTCGGGAAGAGAGCTGATGTCTCAGGCCTCCTCCGTCTGACTGCTGTGTCTTACTTCCTGGTGGTTTCTGCATTGTCACTGTGACTGCCCCCACACAGAAAGGGGAAGGGCCCTGGCGTGGGAGACCTGGGGGCACGCCAGAAGCAGGGAGGGGCTGGCACTCACCAGTACAGCTTGGAGTGCTCCACCAGAGTGTAGGTGTCCCCGTCACCGATGAAGGTTCCGCATGTGAGGCAGATGAAGCATTCGGGGTGGTATTTCAGCTCCCCGGCCACCTGGAAGGAAGTGTGTGTGTCTGTGTGTGTGTGGTGGTGTAGGGAGGGGGACCACTACCCGGCTCAGCGGCTCCTTCAGCCCCTGTAGCTTCTCCCCTTTGCCTCCCCTCAGAAGGGCAGCCCCAAACCAACGTGGGGGCAGAGCTGGCTCCACAGATGGGGACTGAGGGATACAGACGGACAGACAGACTCAGGAGGCACTGGGGAATCAGAGAACCAGTGAAAAGGACAAGAGAGATGATAGGAGAGAGATCTGGGGCAGGGAGTAACCTGTGAACACACACATACACCCACCAGGTGAGGTTGGGGGGTACTTACCATGACCAGCCCCTTGGTGATGTGCTCTGAGCATCCGTGGCAAGACTCGCCATAGCGGGCCCAATAGTCCTTCTTGCAGAAGAGCTGCCCATCCTTCTCGTAGTACTGGTGCGAAAGGGAGGCACTGCATTCACAACACCTGGGTGGAAGGGGAGCTGGGACTCAGAGGGGCCCATCCTTTCCCCCACATCTTGGCCCTGCCAGTCCACAGGCAGCGTTAGAGAAAGGTGTGCCCTCTGGATGGAGGCAGCCTACGCTGGGGCACAGGGCTTGGTGAGTGGACTCAGGCATGGATTTGGTGACCACCCCACTCCCTCCACCATGGTCCCTCGGCCAGAAGCCTTGGTCCTGCGCGCAACCTCAAATCACAACCCCTGCGTCCCCACCATGGAAGTTCTGTACCCAGGGTGTCTGGTCCACCTGCGAGCCCGGGGGTGAGAAGTGCTCCTCATCTGAGGCCCCCACCCCTTGTGCACGGAAGAGGGCCAAGTGTGGGCAGAAGACTTACTCTCAGGCCCAGGGAAGAACCTGGGAGCCCAGGACTCAGGTTGCGGGGGGCACTGGGACAGACTGTGAGCCCCACTCACCTAGTCCAGCCTTCTTCTCCCTCCCCCTCCTCCCATTCCCGGCAATGGGGAGGCTGCTGATGTAAACGGAGGTGACTTTTTGGAACTGTGAAGACCTATTAAGTGTTCATGTCTTCCCATTTTTAAAAAAATTAATTGGAGTATAGTTGTTGTGCAATGTTCTGTTAGTTTCTGCTGTACAACGTGAATCAGCTATGAGTATACATACATCCCCTCCTTCTTGAGCCTCCCTCCTACCCCCCATCCCACCCCGCACCCATCACAGAGCATCCAGCTGAGCTCCCTGTGTCATGCAGCAGCTTCCCGCTAGCTATCTGTTTTACACATCCTAGTGTATCCGTGTCAAAGCTATTCTTTTGTTTCATTCCCCCCCTCCTTCCCTGTCTGTGTCCACAAGTCTGTTCTCCACATCTGTGTCTCTATTCCTGCTCTGCAAATAGGTTCATCAGTACCATTTTTCTAGATTCCATAGATATGTGTTGACAGACGATAGTTTTTTTTCTGACTTACTTCACCCTGTATGACAGGCTCACGTTCCCATTTTCTTGCTTACATTTACTTGGTCCTCACAGGCCACCACGAGGCAGGCGTGGCTATCCCCATTTCTAAAGTCGAGGCAGATGAACTTGAGAAGGTCTATTCCACCCAAGGTCATACAGATACAAGGCAGGAGTTGAGCTCAGTGTAGACCAGTCAGTCAGCTAAGACAGGGAAGTCTCCTGGCTTCCTAGACTCCAGCCAGCCCCATGGGTGCTGCCGGGCACAGGAGCAGGGTTTGGCATGGGGAGCAGGGAGGCCTGGCTGGTGGACCCCTGAAGGGCAGATGGGGAGAAATGATGTACAGGTTTCCTCCTAGGCACAACTCCACAGGCCAGGAAGGAGCTAGACCTACTCACTTGGCTTCTTTATGCTCAAGGGTCCTGGTGGGGTGGGGGCCAGCAACCCAGCTAAGCCAGGGTGAGCAAACGTAAGAATGGACTGAGTGACAACAGCCCTTCCATCCCGGGCACGAGCCTGACCCGGGGTCCTGACGTGCACAGGTATGTCTGAGCCTGAGGACATGCCCTGCAGAGAACCGCTAGGGAATCTGTCCAGCTGTGCTGTCTGGGTGCTCTGCATGATGTGCCAAAGTCACACAGGGATAGAAGGACCAGGCTCAGAGCTCGTGGCTCAGTGGGGGATCAATCTAGGAGAGAGGAGGGCAGGAGAGACTGGGGCTGGGTCAGAGAGACCCGTGCCCCAGGCAGCCGGGGAGGCCTCCACTCTACTGTAGCCTGCAGGCTGGCAGCGCTCATGGACTGAGCTCCCTGACTGCTCCTGAACTAGGCAACTGGCGAGGAGAAGTGGGGAGCGGGGGAGGAGGAGGGAGGGAGGGGACAGCAACCAGAGTGCTGATGGGACGCTGTCCCTTTAAGAGGATCCAGCGGGTGCCCCGTGGTCTGGGAGCCTGAGGGGAGGCACTGGGGACCACAACTCAGGGCTTTGGGTGCCGGCGGGTGGCAGAGGAGCACAAAACGCCCAGCTTTTGAAACCTCCTTGGTGGGGGGGTGGGCAGGGAGAGCCCCTGAAGCGGCGCTGGGATGTGGGAGGAGGCGGCGGCGGCGGAAGCGGCTGGACCAGAGCCATGACGTCATCGGGCGCCCCCGCGGCCCTTCCTGCCCCGATACTCGCGGCCCCTGTGGTGGGTGGACGTCTTACCGCAGGGTGGGCAACGGGCAAGGAAGGCGCCGAGCCAGGGGGGCGGGAAGACGCCCGGGGAGGGGGCAGGTCCCTAGCGCAGCCCCCAGGGGGCTCTAACCCCGCGGGAAGGGAAGGTGCGCGGCAGCAGACGGAGGCGGGGCGCGCCCGCCGCGCACCCCGATCCGGGAGTCACTGCGCCCTTCCACCGCGTCACAGGAATGTCCCCGCGGGAGTCTCCCCTGACTCCCGGGCGGCAGGGAGCCCCCCTCCCCTGCCCCAGTGGGCGGGGCGGCGGCGGCCACCTTCCTCCAAAGCAGAGACGGCTCTTCTGCCGGCCGGCGAACTCCTTCGCTCACGCACACACACTCAACGCTGCAGCAGCCCTGGAAGATGCGGCTGTTGATTCACTCAAGCGCTGAGAGTGCAGTGAGCTCCCCAGTAATCACTTCCTCGCAGCCTGCTCCGATGCCCACCCCCCCCCCTCCACGCTGCCTGCATCCCCCCAGCCTCTGCCGTCATAACCTGCCGGCTCCCTGAGGTCCCAGGCCAGGCACCTACAAACTCTGCTCCCAGAGAACACAAGGGTTTCCTGTCTGACGCCCTCAGCCTGGAACAGTTCTCATCCCCCAGCATCCTCGGGAGTGCTCCCGGGAGCCTCTACCTCGGCCTGGGGGCCTCCACCTCAGAGAGCCGACCCAGCCCAGGGTCACACAGCAGCTTGGTAGCCGGCTCCCTGGGGCCTCGGTGGACCTCTGCTGATGGCAGGCACACAGGAGCCCCTGACCCTGGGCATCCCCTCATCCCGCAGACCCCCATCTGGGCAGGAGCCAGAGGCAGGTGGGGCAGGTCATGTCCCTACAAAGGGTGTCCAGAGAGGAATACCCAGGATACTGTACCCCCCTGAGAGCAGGTGAGGGCAGAGCTGACCTTGGGTAGGAGAGAAGGCATCGGGTGGGGTGGGGGGTGCTGAACAGGCCAGGCTGGGAAACAGGGGTGACCCCCTCAAGGAAAGGGCAATCCCTTCTAGGGGTGCCCTCTACCCAGAATCATATTCCTGGATACCAAGGGTGCACAAGAGCAGCTGGGGGACCAGCCTGATGGCAGCTTGTACCAGAAAGGCCAGGGGCCGCAGCCCGGCCTGCTTCCCCCCAGACAGGCAGCTAACAGTGACCAAGGAGTTTCACTTCTCCTGCCCCAGAACCCAGCCTCAGGTGGGCCTGTCCCACCACGGCCTCCAGCCCCAGCCCTCACACCGCAGGCGCTGCCTGAGGCCTGGGACAGGTTGGGCGGGAGAGGGGCTTTCCACTTACTTGGCCCCTCTGAGGAAGAAGCGCCGTCTTCTCAGGGGGGACGCCAGCATCCTTCGCCGCTGCCTATCTCGGGGGCCCCTGGAGGCTGCGGGGAGCGCAGGGGTGGGCCGACAGAGTTGCTTCCCTGTCCCACTCCAGGCACTCAGGATTGGAGGCTGCAGAGGGAGGGGCGAGCGTGGCCACGAGGCAGGGGAGGAGGATGCGCGGTGTGGGTGCTAGCGGACCTGGTCTTAGCTCAGAACAGGAAGCAGCTGAAGGCCCTACTGCCTGGGGTCTGGTGCAGACGGGACGCCTGGCCGCCACTCTACCCTCAGCCGTACACATCTGAGAAAGGCACCCTCCATGCCCCTCAGCCTCTTTTCTTTTTTGGCCTCGCTGCACAGCATGTGGAATCTTAGTTCCCTGGCCAGGGATCGAATCTTCACCCTCTGCATTGGGAATGTGTGTGTGTGTTCAGTCATGTGTGACTTTTTGTGATCCCATGGACTGTTGCCTGCCAGCTCCTCTGTCCACGGAATTTTCAGGCAAGAATACTGGAGTGGGTTGCCATTTCCTCCTCCAGGGGGATCTTCCCAAGTCAGGGATCGAACCCCTGTCTCTTGCATCTCCTGCCTTGGCAAGCAGATTCTTTACCACTAGCTCCACCTGAGAATCCCTCATTGGGAGTGTGGCATCTGAACCACTGGACTGCCAGGGAAGTCCCCCTCGGCCTCTGCTTTGACAAAGACTCTGGGGACAGGGAGCAGCTGCTGCTTCTGGTGCTGGCCCCAAGGGAAGAGAGACTGACTTCCACGCACAGTCCATCCTCCTTCCCTGAAAGTCCCCTGAAGAGGGGGGCATCCCAGCCCGGGCTCCAGCCCCCAGTGCCAGCTGCGCACTCAGCTCTCACCCTCCGAGCCCCACCAGCCTCCAGAGAGATGTCACCAGAGTTACAGCAGCCCGGGGGCTCCTGCGCCACGATATTCTGAGAGGGGACCTCCCGGAGGTAGCAGCTGGGCCAAAGGAAGCCTGGACCACCCTGGGCCTGGCCCCGACCTTCAGGGAGGCTGGGACAGAGAAAGGGGCGGGCCCTGCGGTGACACTGACGCCCAGTGCTAACACCAGAGGCATTCAGTGGGCCCACAGCAACTCTCCCACTGAGAGGCCTTGAAGCCCAGGGGCTGGCGCTTCCAGGACGCCCAGCAAGCAGTCCTTCCTTTATGAGCTGCTTTCCTGTCATGGGCGTGAGGACTGGTGGCCTTAACCAGATTTGGGGGCTGTTGGGAGAACCACACAGCCTGGGGCCCGAAATGCAGTGGAAGTCATGGAACCGGGGGAAGCCACGACTCTAACTGCCTGTGGGCCCCTCCCCACAGGAGCCTTCCCTGTGGCCCCACCGCACCAGGGACAAACCCAATGTGCCCCCTCCCTACTGTCCCCACCTGGGGCCCCCCACCTCTGCTGGTGAACAGGGCAGGGACCCCCCCCCCAAGTTGGGTTCCATGCATCCGGCCCCACTCTGCCCTTCTACAGCTTCTGCAGGCGCACTCTTGCCCCTCCCCCATGTCTCCCAAGACTCTAACTCCCTCCCCACTCCACACACAGGGACCCCCAAAGTTCTTCCCTTGATTTCTCGCAGTCTCATCTCAATCCCCTCTGCTGGCCCTCAGTGGGCTGAGTTCTCTGATCTTTCCACCTGGGACTGGTCTCAGATCACCTCGGCCAGCTCTGGGCAGGGCAGGGCCACGCTGGTTAGCCTACCGCAGCTCCAACTCAACGAGGACAGGGCATGACTTACGACCAACTTGGCCCCCAGCTCCACCAGACCCAACGGACTACTGGTCTCTGCACCCAGGGTGCAAAACCAAATGGCTTAGATTGTGCCCCGGACACTCACCAGCCCCCAGCTCCTCCCCCATGGTCCTGACTTCTTCAACTCTGCAGTGACTTGGAGTGAGACAGATATAGGTTCAGGTCCCAGCTCCGGCTGTTGCAACTTTCAGCAAGTTACTTGATTTCTCTGAGCCTCTGTTTCTAACATGGAAATTGGGCAAATGATGGTACCGCCTACAGTTATGGTGAAGGCTTGAGGATGACATCACAGGAGTCACTGATGAATAGTGGCTAATATGACTAATCCAAATACTGTCCCTTCCAGATCTGAAACTCTCTCTGCTCTGAGTCACTGTCCCAGGTCGGGTCTTATGAGCACAGATCCCTGAACCATTGTGACAGTCCCTTCCCTGTCACGTGACCACCATCTGCCCACTGGAATGGCAACGGCACTGTTCAGTAGCACTTCCGCCCACAACCCTCCTCTGCTTCCTGACACTCTCTGCTGGCTCCCTACTGCCTTCAGAAGCTCCTTATCTTGGCATTCAGGGCCCTTCACAAATCAGTCCTAACTTTGCCTCCTCATCACATCCCTCGACTCACTCTGTCCAACCAGATGAGCTGTTCCCAGTCCTTCAATTGCTGGCGCTGTCCCCTCTCCCTGTCTCCGTGCATGTGGCTTTCTCTGCCTATTCAGAGCTCCCTTCCTCCTCGAAGGCCTCCTTCTGAACACCTGATTGGGAACCCCAGGACAAGGAACCCATCTCTCCTCTGGGCTCCCCAGTCAATGTTCATTTCATTCCTGCGGCTGTGTGTCTTTGGTCAAGAGAATTAACCACTCTGTGTCCCAGTTAATGGAGACCACAAATATCCAACTATACAGAGTCCTTAAACAAGTGTCTGGCCCTTGCTAAATTGTAGAAAATATGAGAAATTATTTTTAAAACAGAAAAAAAAAATCCTTGTTAGAGGCTCCCAGTGCCCAAATTTAACTCCTTCTTTCAGCTGGTGGTAGTTGCCCTGACCCCAGCTGAACCTCCTCAACTTTATCTCCCCTCCTTTTTGGAGCTTTTTTGCCTGAACTCTGCTGGCCACTGACTGGGCCAGGCCCTGTCACCATTCATTCTACCCTCTGCACCTGCTGGGCTGTCTGGAATTGCTTCCTACCACACTTCTCCACCTGGGAAATCTCCCATCCTTTGGACCCCAGCTCTGGCCCCACAGAGCTCCCTAAGGCTCTCGCCTGGCCCTGTTTCTCAGGATGGTGCTACTAGGCTGCTGGGCCACCTCTGAGTTCCCATGTGCATGGCCACAACCCTGATCCTACTCTGCTATACTTGGGAGTTGGTGTCATGGAGGGAAGGGATGGGTCTTACTGGTTACGCATCTTTGCAACCAGCCTGGGGCCACGAAGCGGGCTCATCTCCTCCCAAGGCCTGCTCGGTCTCCCTCTTCTCCCTGGAGCACCAGCGTCCAGAAGGTAAAGGTGGACTACCCTCCACTCCCCCGCCTGCCAAGGTGCCATCAGGCCTTGGGATTATCAACATAAATGCAGGTCTCTGCTTTTCTCTCTTCAGAGGTCTAGAATGACAAAAAAGAGAGGCCTCCAGGGAGCTTCTAAGCCAGATGCCTCATTTTACAGATGGGAAAACTGAGGCCCAGGACCAGAGAGAGATCCATCCCCCTGCCTCTGGCAGGCCTTCTTTCGGGCACCCCAGCCCCGCCAGCCGGCCCTACCTGAAGCAGTCTGCGTGCCAGTCAGCATTCAGGGCCTGGAGGTACTGGCCATCGTAGATCCTCTGGCCGCAGCTCGCACACACGGGCAACTCGCTTCCTGCAGGGGTGGAAAGGGCGTTAAGAACCATACTCAGGAGGGGCGGTTTGCTGTAGGCCTAGCCTGCCCTGCTGGACCCCCACGTACACCTCCACAAGTCCCCCCAAACACACGCAGCGCCCAAGCTGAGCAGTGTCTATGCAGAGCAGAAGGAGGCAGAATGAGAGCCTTGCTGAGACCATGGCTCAGTCTCCAAGCCCTCCTGGGCCTCAATTTCTCTCTCTATAAACTGAGGAGGGACTAGCAGAGGTCCACCCCCAGCAAGAGCATTCTTCAGCTCAGGGTCTGGCAGTGTAAATGGGAAGAAAGCAGCATGATTTAGAAGGAAGGCAGTGGGTGACACTCGCGTCACAGCCCCTTCTCCTCTCCCGCCTGCCCAGGAAGAGGAGCTCTTTCAAAGGGCAGGGACTGGACAGCGCTAAGTTGGTGCATCCTGTATTAAAGACCCCTGGAAGGCTTGGCTATGCCCTGGCCTCACAAGGGGCCAGGGCCTCAGGGCTGGGCTCCCAGATACATGCTCCCAGGGAGGCCTGGCACCTCTTCAAGCTGGGCCACTAGGCATGCTTAGTCATCCTTGGGGCCTGGCACCCTCGGAACAGGGTGGGCCCTGCAAGATCTCCAAGCTTGCCCCTTCCCATTGCACAGATGGGGAGACTGAGCCCTGGAGAAGATAAGGCTTGCAAGGTCACCAACCAGGCTCCAAGGCCACAGCCTGCCCCTTCAAGAGGACTCAGGGACCTAGGAGCTACCGTAAGGTGGCTCCAAGTGGGCCTTCACGGACCTGGGGGGAGGGCAGGCCTGGAGGAGCCGGCAGAGTAGAAGCTTTGTTGGACCAGGTGGGCCTATGAGATGGTTCAGAGGAGGAAACCCAGGAAAGGAGACACTAGGGAGGGAATCGTGGGGATCTTCATACCATAACTGTCCTGCAAACCCAAGCCTTGGGCCGCAGTAGGTGAAAGGGGCAGAAGAAAGACTGATCATCCTCCGAGCCAAGACGGACAGCAGGCGCTGGGTTTGGTGCAGGGAGGGGGGTGGGGGCCGCTGCCCAAAACAAGCTTCGGCGGACTCATATCTCTGCTCTGCCCATCCTGCCCCTAGACTCCCAACCACCACAGCCAGGCATGCCAACTATGAGGGGGCCAACTGAACAAACAGGGAAACTGAGGCCCAGAAGGTAGCGCCTGGCTCAAGGTCAGAGAGCCGGCCCAGACATGGGGCTGCGACTCGGACCCTCGGACCCAGGGATGAGGCTTTCTCAGCGACTCTTTCTTCCGAGGGCCGGTTAGAGACGCGATAAGGGGCGGCCCAGGGCGAGCCCGGGATGGACACAGCACGCACGGATGGCGGCCAGGGCTGGGTGGGCTGTGCCCGGGCTTCCTCCGGGGTGGTCGGCGGTCGGAGGATGGGAGAAGGCGGGGATGAAAGGGAGGAGAGGGCCCTCCGCCAGCGGGGCTGGAGGGGAGCATCCCACCGGCGCCGAAGACGGGGAAACGGGATGGGAGCTTTTCAGGGAGGGGCCTGCGGGCTTCTGAAGGACGAGCTCATCCCGGACACAGGGGCGCGGCCTCGCGGCAGACCCGGCCTCCGCGGCGGGCAGGCCGGCCCCTCCCCGCGCCCGGCCCCCCTGCCTCTCCGTATCCCCCCCCGCCCAGCGCAGCGTCCCCGCCCGCCCGGCCCCCAGGTCGGCGACCCCGCGGTCCGCATCCCGCGCACCTTCCTCTCCCATACGTTCTTCCCTCCAGGTACAACAAAGTAGCGTCAACCTCATGCACTCGGCGGGGGGCGGGGCCCGGCGGGGCTGGGGCTGGGGGCGGCCCGGGCCCCGCGCGCTCGCCCGCAGCCGCCGCCGCCGGCCAGGGAGGCGGGGGCGGAGAGCGCGGGCCGGGCCGGGGTGGGCTCGGGGCTCGCGGCACTGCCGCCGCCGCTGCCGCCGCCGCGTCTCGGATACCGGCTCCGGCAACCGCTCAGTGCCGCGGCGGCCTGGAGAGCGAGCGGAGGGGCGGATCGGGGCGGGGCCTGCGAGCTGCGGCACGGGGGCGGGGCGGGGCGCAGGCGAGCGGCGGAACGGCCCTGCGCGGCCACGCCCCCGCCCGCGGCCACGCCCCCGCCCGCGGCCACGCCACGCCCGCAGCCACGCCCCCCGCCCGGCCCCCGCCCCGCCCCGCTCCTCCTTTCATTCATCTTTCCCAGAGCGACAACACTCTTCCGCGTCCCTAAGCAAAGACAGGGAATCCGAAAACTGCGGCTTAGGTGGGATGTGTGCTCTGATGCGGGAACCTAGAGGGTGTAGAAGCCGCAGTTGCTCAGTCGTGTCCGACTCTTTGCGACCCCATGACTGCAGCACAGCCAGACTTGCCTTGTCCTTCACCATCTCCCAGAGCTTGCTCGAACTCCTGTCCGTTGAGTCGGTGATGCCATCCAACAATTTCGTCCTCTGTCGTCCCCTTCTCCTCCTGTCTTCAGTCTTTCCCAGCATCGGGGTCTTTTCTAATGAGTCGGCTCTTCGCATCAGGTGGCCAAGTATTGGAGCCTCAGCTTCAGCATCAGTCCTTCCAATGAATATTCAGGACTGATTTCCTTTAGGGTTGACTGGTTTGATCTCCTTGCAGTCCAAGGGACTCTCAAGAGTCTTCCCCAACACCACAGTTCAAAAGGATCAATTTTTCGGCGCTCAGCCTTCTTTATGGTTCAACTCTCACATCCATACATGACTCCTGGAAAAACCAGAAGCCCGCAGTTAGGAGCCTTCGTTTCCTTGCGCAGAGCCCGTCTGATCCAGGCCTGCTCATTGGAGGCTGAGAACCGGACCCAACAGGAAAGAGACGTCGCATCGACCCTGAGGTCCATGGTAGTTGCCTGGGGGAGTGGCCTCGGCCAGGTCCTTTCCCTCTCTGAGGCCTGCAGTGAGGGCTGGCCCCACCAGGGGCAGGTGGGGTGCTAGGTGGGGAGGAGAGGTGAGGCCCTCACCAGCTAGGCAGGCTGCTGAAGTTTCAGGCCCCGGGGGAGACGGTGACAACTGAGCCCAGGGATTTGCTCCTCCCAGTGCTAGAGCCCTGGAGCTGGCGCCACCCTGCCCAGGGTTCAGGAGGAGGTACTGCTAAACGGAGGGTTTTGAGAGAAGTGGCCGGAGGAATTGGGTGGTCCCCAAAGCACAGGCTTCCCTGGTGGCTCAGATGTAGAGAATCTGCCTGCATTGTGGGAGATCCAGGTTTGATCCCTGAGTCAGGAAGGTCCCCTAGAGAAGGCATTGTCTCCCCACTCCAGTATTCTTGCCTGGAGAATTCCACAGACAGGACTACAGTTCAGTTCATGGGGTCACCAGGAGTCAGACAGGACTGAGAGAGACTAACATTTTCACTTTCACTTTCACAGCACAGGTGCTCCTTCTAGCCCTGGAAGTGTGGAGCACCCTGCCTACAACTGTCTCTCCCAGGCCCACCCTCCCACTTCATCCCACTGCCTGGGAGCCTATATGGGGAGAGGTTGACCCACATACCCAAGTCCATCAAGTGAACAAGGGGCAGAGCTGTTCACGCTCCAACTCCAGCCATTAAGCGTGTATAGATTTTCTCTGGCCAGGGCTTTGTCCAGTGGCCTACGTGAGGGGCAGTCACCTCTGGGTGTAAAACAACTACCTGGGGGAGGAAAGAAAACATAATTTTTCTTCCTTCTTTCTTCCCTCCCTCCCTTTTTCTTTCTTTTTCTCCCTTCCTTCCTTGTTCCTTCCCTGCCTCCCTTCCTTCCTCCTGTCTTCCTCCTCCCTCCTTTCTTAACATGCAAGGTTGATGCTTGTCCTCACTCTATGCTGGCCAGATGGCCCTAAAGTACTTTCAGTAAAGTGTCTTAAGGAGGTGTGTAGGTCCTCAGAGGCCGGACAGCAATGTCTTTGCTTGTTTGTTGGTTTCCTTCAGGGTATGATTCAGGCAGGGTCCAGGCTGATACAGGAAACAGGAGCAGTCAGCGGGGATTACTGTGGAGTTAATAAAGGAGATTTGACAGTGGACTGGGCAGAGTTACGGGAAATCCATGAAGACAGGCACAGCCTCAATGTGACAGCAGTTAGTACTCCTGGGTGAAGGGGCTTGGGAGAGGCCCCCCGTGCAGGGGGCTACCAAGGGAGAGGTAGAAGGGCCGTGGGCCTGTGTCCAGTTAGCTGGAAGACAGTCACTCATTTATAAGACAACTAACCCTTACAGAATAGACTTGTGGCTCTGTAAGATTCTGGAAAAGAAAGCAGAGATTGAAGATGATGCTGATGCTGTAAGATGAACGAGAAGACAGAGCTGACACTTCCCTCTCTTGTTGGAGTTCCTTGGCAGCCGCGTTTTCCCGTGAAACCGAGGACCAGCTCATCAGATCTGACATATTCAGTCACATTGCTCATCCAAGTTAAGTCTTTTTTTAACGGAAAGCAACAAAGCAATTTTTTACTTTTAATAAATACAAGCATTCACATATTGTTCACTTCATCTTTAGAACCTGGGGTTTCCCTGCTGGCTCAAGTGGTAAAGAATCTGCTTGCAATGCAGGAGACCCAGATTAATCCCGGGTCAGGAAGATTTCCCCTGGAGAAGGGGATGGCTACTCACTCCAGTATTCTTGCTTGGAGAATTCCATGGACTAGAGGAGCCAGCCAGGCTCCTCTAGTCCATGGAGTCACAAAGAGTTGGACATGACTAAGCAACTAACACTTCCACTTTTCACTTTCATCTCTAGAATATTCTTCTTAAATTCTGTTTTTGCATTGTTATATGATGAACATTTTTAAAATAATCTATACAATCAAGAAGTTATGTAATTTGTAAGTGAATATGTCTATGTGTGTGTTGGGGAACAAATATTAAATTTTTTTTTTTTTTTGCTGCACCACACAGATTATGGGCTTTTAGTTTCTCTACCAAGGATTGAACCTGGGCCCCCAGCAGCAAAAGTGCCGAGTCCTAAATTCCCTGGACTGCCACAGAATTCCCCAAATATTAATTTGGGTGCAAATTAAGATCTCTGGCTTGGAGGTGTTAAGTTTTAGGTACCCATTTGCCATCCAAGTGGCAAATATATATGCAGTGTTTGCTCAAAAATATTTTACTGATCGTGTTTGTGATACAAGTTTTGGGATTAGGGGTCCAGAGCCCTTTGGGAAAGACTTACTCCAGGTCTGGTGGCTCAGATGGTAAAGAATTTGCCTGCAATTTAGGAGACCTGGGTTCGATCTCTGAGTGGGGACGATCCCCTGGAGAAGGGAATGGCAACCCACTCCAGTATTCTTGCCTAGGGGATCCCATGGACAGAGGAGCCTGGTGGGCTACTGTTGCAAACAGTTGGATACAACTGAGCGACTAACCCTGAATATTCATTGGAAGGACTGATGGTGAAGCTGAAGCTCCAATACTTTGGCCACCTGATGCAAAGAACTGACTCATAGGAAAAACCCTGATCCTGGGAAAGATTGAAGGAGAGGGGATGACAGAGGATGAGATAGTTGGATGGCATCACGGACTCAATAGACATGAGTTTGAGCAAGCTCTGGGAGTTGGTGATGGACAGGGAGGCCTGGTGTGCTGCAGTCCATGGGATGTCGCAGAGTCTGACACGACTGAGCGACTGAACTTAACTGAACAAGTAACATTTTCACTTTTACTCCAGGTCAATGATTAGGATTTGTCCAAATTGCCAAATTGTGGCCTGGCTGAACACAAGCTGGTGCCAAAGTCTCCATAGGAACACCGACAGAATGAGCCCAAGACTGTGACCCAGGCCAGGGGCCAGAGCCTGAGCTGTCCTAGCCTAGAGAGGAACAGAGAGCTGGCATCACGTGATCCCTGCTGTCAGGTGCAGCCTGCCCCCTCCTTGCCTACTCTGTGTGACGTCACCCAGACACATGGCTCGGTGACTCCCCTGCCCTCTCCTTGAACTGTGGACACAAAGACCCAAATATCTTTGTGGCATCTCTTGGATGATGAATGGGCACCTCAAACCTCATGCATCCAGATTAGAGCTCTTAATTGATGCCCGGATCTGTTCCTCCCTCAGTGTTTCTCATCTCAGTAAATGACACCTCTGTCCTTTAGTGGCTCAGCCAAAATTCGAAGTCATCCCCAACTTCTCTCTCCCTATTCCTTTTCTTGCGCCCGTGTGTGTGTGTAGTTAGTCGTGTCCAGTTCTTTGCAACCCCATGGACAGTAGCCCATCAGGCTTCTCTGTCAATGGGATTTTCCAGGCAAGAATACTGGAGCGGGTTGCCACTTCCTACTCCAGGGGATCTTCCCGACCCAGGGATTGAAACCTGCATCTCTTATGTCTCCTGCATTGGCAGGTGGGTTCTTTACCACTAACACTTACCTGCACCTGATCCATCAGCAAATCCTATTGGCAGATTTTACTGGTTCCCTGTAGATCCAAACTTCTACCGCTTTTCCCTCCAACCCCCCTCCTCCCTGGTCTAGCTAGGTGTACAGTACAACTGCCCCCGAGTTATTCCCCCATGATGCTCCAGAGCCTCTGCACATGTGGGTGAAAGTGTGACATTTCCTTACTTTCAAATCCAAAACTCTTACTGCAGCCATTAGGGGACCTAGTCCCTGGTTACTTCTTTGCTCCTGTTTCTTCTCTCTTTTGCTCTTTTTCCAATAACCACAGTGCACCTCTCTGCTCTTGTAACTTCCCAAGCAAGGGGTCATCACAGGGCTTCTCACCTGAGATCAGGTGTCCCCAACCATCCCAACTGACTTAACATTCTTCCTCACTCTCCATCTCCCTCCCTGGCTTTTG